TCATAAGAAGCAGGTCCAGTTCAAACTTGTTCCAATTTGCGCTCATGTAAAGCGTATCTATCGATCACTTTAGCAATCTGCCATGCGTCAAAATTCACGAACGCACAGCTTCAAATCTGTAACCTGCTTTCTAACAATTCTTATGCAATCACTTCTAGAAAAGTCCATACCAGTAAGCTTCTGTGAGCAAACATGGCGAGTATGTCTCCCACACCAAGTATGTGTATTGACTGCTTAAGCGACGTCATACTCGACGAAAATCGCAAAAGCAGAGATTTTCTGATGCAGTAATCCATCAGAGATCGACCGTTCGTGACCTCAATTATGCATTGATGTTGCTTATCGTCGGCTTGTAACTGCGGCCTGTTCTCTTCCCGAACAGCGCCAGCGCCAGCGCCGAACGTCGCAGCAGCGGCAAAAGCAGCAATCGCCGCGATTAACATCTCTCTCTCGGTGCCCCTCGTCTCTCTTCTTAGTCGAACGCTACATCGAATTCCAAAGCGTATAATATGCTTATGGCTGAGCGCTTCTGACCTCAATCTAATTCGAATAAGAAATTTCTAGTTTCTAGCTTCTTTGTAATTTAAGCTACACTTTTCGATCTAGTGATTTCTCAACTTTTGCCTTTCTGAGCCAAAAAACCTTTTGGTTTTAGCTGCCCCAATTTAGGACTAAACTCCAAAACAAGACTTCACTTATAGTTTTAAAAACAAAAGTTTTGAAAATCGATGTTTTTCTTCTGTAAATGAACTATGGATAAAATAAAGATACAAACAGGCCAAATGTATTTAGATCTGCAATTATGGCCCTAGGGACGTAATAGTAAAGATAATGCTTTAGCTAAAATACCAAATGACATTTTTTTAGTAGTGAATTACGGTGAAAACATAACTATTTGCCTACATGATCTCAATGTCTACTAAAGATTTTTAGCAAAGTAAGCAACGAAAAACTGATAAGTAAGTCCTTTAATTTAACTGCTACTTCCTCAGGGCAACTCAAAAAAGAAGCGAAACCTGCTCGTAAACGATCTCGCCTGACTTAAGGTCAGCTGACCCATTCAGGTGACCACTGGACCACCCCCAAATACCGACGAAACTTGGCCGAAGCGTAAATTTCGTGTTTTCTTTTATTTCCATAGATGGACTCTGTCTTCCTTCCATTTTTTGTTCATTCCAAGAATATTTTTTTCTAATCATTTCATTTGTCTTGAACAGTTATTGCATTACCATCAAACTTCCTTGTTTTACTTTTACTCCCATGTATTTCACCCTAGGTTTTACGTGCACTTGACCTAAAATGTACGTAGCAGTTACCATTTGTCCGACATGGAAGGCCAATCTTATCACATTAACGCTTTCAAGAGAAATCCAGGCATGAATATTTTTGCTAAAACAAGCAAATATGTAAGTATTTTGAGCAAAAAGTTTCTGTCTTCAAAGGGGAAGAAAAACATACGACAGTGAAAAAATGGCTAAAACTCGCTACAAACTCTTTTCAAATGGTTTCTTCTCTTTCAACTGGGTCAGCACAAAGTCGCTAATTCAATCCTCTTGCGTAATTTCTCACTCCATCAAAATATGTGGGAATTCGTTACAGTCTCCATCCGTTCACCTCCTTTTAAAACCATCACCACTAGCCGAATAGGTCA